TTTGTATACCACCCGTCCCACCCGTGTATAGTCCCTCCCGTGACAAACGTTGTCCCACCCGTTGCAGAGCATTTTCGGATTTTTTTCATAATAAAACAATAATTTGTGTTGTTGTTCTTGCTTTGTTTGTATTCGTGGAGTTTCCGTAAAATATATCTGCTCCAAAACGCAGGTTTTTTTCTCCCACCCGTGACAAAAGAAATACATACCTCAGATTTTTTCCATATAAAAGAAAATCGGATTTTTTTTCGTATTTTGCTATAACTCATAGAATTGTCTATAAGGTGCAGCTTTATCAAAATGTAGAAATCTTATTGATAAATCAATACGAAAATAAATACGATAAAACAATCACGAAAATCTTTCGTTTTTAGTAGGTTACAGAGTTAAAAAAAAACTACGAATAGAAAATGTGATGCACATCAATTTAATGTCAATTATACATTGACAGGACTTAATCTCATCGTGCTTGTTGCGAGTCATTACAATGGCCTCCAAAATCAGTTAACGTTAATCCGTTGGATTACTTCAGAGATGAGCAAAATGGCTTCCAGGATCCTTTTGCACTTCGGAACCGGCTTGGCAGATTTAGGTGCTAGATGAGGAGTAACAGCAAGAGCCAGCGTGATGGGGGAAGATGGCCATATTAAAAGTTCTTGTACTCCGACTCTCATTACTAATATACACTTACATAGGTCTCTTTTTATGCGTTTTTTTATGCGGATTTGAATTTATGCGGTTTTTTAAACAATTTTTTCGCTGTAGCGATTTTGCGTTTATTACTTTTTTTCAGTGTGTAAGAGACAATGCTGCTGATAAATAATTTGGCTTGAAGCCTTACATAATTCGTGTATTTATTATGGTATGTTTTCTTTTGGTTAAAATACAGACAAAATTTTATTTATTTCATTAAGTTTATGGAATAATAAGTGTTGAAGTAAAGAAAAAAATTGTTTTTTCTGCTTAATATTGCTTCACTGGATTTTTTTTTTCCGGTTTTTAGAATTCTTTATATGGAGTATCTGAATTTAAATGGTTTTTTAGAAAACGCTGTACGCATCCCCTGTTTATGAAAGTAAAGAACTTTTTTATGTCGATTTTTATTTGTGCTTCTTTCTGAGGAATGCATGTACCGCATAAAAAAATACCTAAGTGTATATGATGTTTTAATGTATTTTTTAAACCCCCTTAACCATTAGAACTGATTTACTTACACATTGAGAAATTAGCTTAGTGCCAATATAGAAGTATTACATATATGGTTCGCAATGAAGGTATTCTAATTTATTAAAAGTTTTTACATAATATTTCCCTATGCTATCTTCAAGAACGTGTGCATAACCTGATAATTTAAAAAGCTCATTTCATTCAAACCCGAAATAATTTTCACTGGCGCTGACTTAAAACGATAACCTTTCAAAGTAATTGGAGTACCAGGTGTGTGTGATCTACATAATAATAGAATCCATAAATGACAGCTAAGTTGTCGTCACCAACGTTTCAAGTTCAACAGAATCGTAGGAGTTGTGATAAAGTAATGAAAGCCTGTTTGCAAAAATATAAACAAGTTGGCTAGATTATAATGCAAAAGACAAGCCTCCAAAAGGCGCTAGCAGATATACATGCATGGGTATACATACTACCGAGTTGTGTCTACATATATCATTGCATTATTATTGTTGTATAAATACGCGTGATACCGTTATACATTAATGCTGGTTATATGTGTAAATTGTTACATATATGTATGTGGCTGCAAAAGTTGACGTTGATTTTTTGGTTTCTTTAACAAATTATTGGAAGGCCAACAGCAAGCGAACCAGTTGTGGGAATCACTTAAAACCGGTCCATGGTGCTGCATCAAGTTTCCAAACTGCTCATTAATAACAATAGTTATTACTTCTTGCAGTCGCTTGCTCACGAGGAAAAAAATTGGATTCGAAAGTGAAGGTTTTGAGTACTTTTGTGCTATACGAAAATCTGCCAGCACACCAATTTTGCATGGAACATTTTGTTCAAACTGCTAGTAGATACCACGCAGTCAGGCAGTCTATCAAACTACAGCACGTACCTACTTGCCCCACCACCCATCGCTTCATCCTATTTATTATTAATCATGGCAGACGCGAACCAAAATTGCAACAGCCATGAATCACCCGAACAGTGTATCTATGTTGGTTACAAAAAACTACCAACAGCAAAACGACCACTCTTTTGCTAAGCTAATGCTTTTCCGAACACGTTTAAATATCTGATGAAATTTTTGGATAATTTAACAAATACTCGAAACGTGCCTGTTAATCTTATTGTTAGTGAATTATGTACATATTATGTACATACAAATAAGGCATATTACAAGGACATAATAATATGATTAAATATGTGTGAGGTAAAGAAAGCGCTGAGCTAACATGACTTAAAAAATTTAGTAATATAAATGGAACAAATAACCCACAATACGAATGGTCAGGAAATCGTAGAACACTCACCTTTTCTTTCGTTTCCTTGGCCGCTTTCAGTTTTCGAACCAAATCGCCTTGAATTTTAATTTCTTCGAGTATCTGTTCACGCGTCTCACTCATTCTACTCCACACAAATGTCTATATTTTTTCTAACACACAGCTTATAAGTTTTTAGGAAGTTTGTAGACCCGTCTACGGACCAATTGAGGCCAAATATTTAGCACTCCAAGTCTACGCGCACTCTTTACACTAAACTGCTTTTTGAAAAATTCTGACGCCAATTATATTATTCCATTCGAATTTCACTGAAATATTTAGAAATTATCGCAAGAAAATGTATTCTCAAGCCACAAAACACACACGCGGTGAAAAATGAATGCAGCTGAAGGAATATGCAAGAAAAATTTACTTGTTTGACATTTCGATTTGACGTTTTCCGTACACTGCACTACCTGCAGTTGTTGCACTGCTGTACCGACTTTATGTTGAGGTTTTTCGATTTTTCCGCTGAATCGGTTAAGGTAAGTTCCCATGGTCGATCGAAAATCAAAATTTCTAAAATCACTACCTATGTTTTATTACCACATATGTAGGTATATTAATCGGCAAACATTTTTTAATTCCGATTGAATTTCAACCCCATTCAATTTTAATTTAAAGTGACTTTGGTAGAAGGTCACTCGGAAGTGAGTTGCCGCGAGTTGAGAACCCGCCTGATTGACTCAATTCGGCATGGATCGTGTACTAAAGACACTTCAGTTACTAAGTTGAAGCCAGGGTCCTTACTCTGTAGTTCGATTCGAAAGAAAATGTGTTCGCTTTCGAACCATTGGTACTCTGAAAGCACCTTTCGAGTTACATTCGTGCGATACTTCCTGCTTCGAAAGCAAATGCCAAAATGCTGGAATTGTAGAAAATTCTATTCGACAGCAACCAAGCACTCGAACGTCCGCAAAAATCTATGTAATTGCAATAATAATTGTGAAAATATGTATTCTTTTAATCAAAAAATCATTTTCAGGACAACTAAAATCAAACAACCGAATACAAATCCTCGGCTATTTGAAATATTGGCGTTTTCTCAATGGATTTACACACTTCAATGAGGCAGCGTGACATTGACTGCTGAGAAAGGCCTACGAGTTGGTCTTGACCAATTTGATGTTGGTATCCTCCTTGCCTCAATAATTTCAGTGCAGCGGACGCATTGGCAGTGGTTTTTTTTTCGAAACCAGCTGTTTTTTAGAAAGTGTGATGTCCACAGTGTTGCTCTCTTTTTTTCAAATATCTTCGAATTCGATACGAACGAACTATGGAGTACGAACGGGGCTTCGATTCGAATTTAGCATTCGAATAGAACAAGCTTTCGACTCGACTTACAGAGTAAGTGCCCAGGTTTCAATTATATGCACATGTACATTTTTTTAAGATATACTATGTATGTATGTATGTATACAAAACAAGTATAAGATATTCCAATGAAAAAGTATACACATAGAATTATACACATAAATAAGGATGAACTTGTGCAAGAATGATAGAATACAAGATTGCGCCGATCAGCGAGGATTTTTGAGAATAACTTTTGTGTGACGTCACACTGGTGCAATTGCGAGAGAGAAATGCCAAAACGTGAGCAAGAATGGAAGAAGAAGAAAAAATGTTGCAAGGAAAACGTAAACAAGTTGCACCAGTGTGACGTCATGCAAACAACGATTCTGTCAAATTCGTTAAGAGAGGAATAGCGGTCCGAGATCGGCGCAACCTTTGTATTCTCTCAATCGTGGATCTTGTGTGTAAAAGCCTTTTTCGAGTCGCTATTTCTCTGCTCGCTTGAGGCCATCTCTACTAGCTTAAAAGCGCAGTTACCCACGGACGTAAAAACGGAGAACGTGTCAGCTGACACGAGCTATCTTATGGGATCTGCGTGTTAACAAAAACTCACCACCGCAGACCCGTGACGTACACGTTGCTTCTCTCTCTTTCTATCAACAGCACACTTGATATCTTTCTACGTACTTCTACGCTACGCTACGTACACGTTCGTGGGTAACCGCGCTCTAACAAAAAATTTGTTTTTTTTTTTTTGTTATCGAGCAGAGAGAATTCAAGCGTGTGTAGTTACAGCTGCTTAGCTCGTTAAATCAGTGATTTAGCGTAGCCATAAATTAAACAATATATAAATAAACTCGAATTATGACTGCGCGTATAAAACAATATAACTCAATTGACAAGGGAAGGTCATTGAAATGTACACTCTATATGTGTCTTCACCACCAATTAAATTTAAGAGCATTTTCGAGTATGTTATGCTAGATTTCCACCAGCATTAAATGCCAAAAATTGTAATGACAAACTTGGGCATTAAAAAATATTTTTGTCATTGCGTTAAAAAATTTGTCATTAAATTCATTTCCACATGGCATTTTTTAAATGCCTCCAATTTTTTGTAATTTTAATGTCCAGTGGAAATTCGGCATTATTAAAAAAATTTATTTTACACCTTCCTTTATATGTTCATATAAATCAAATACGAATACATGTGTACATTATAAATACATTTTTTTGATAACTTAAATATATGCATGTAAATATTTATGTACAGTTATAAATATTGTGGCTAGTTTATACTAATTGAAATCAAAGCATTTCATAATGAAAACAAAATGTGTAACAAAGTTCGAAATAATTGAATAGAAGGGTGAAAGCAACCAACCAAAACCTATTTAATTTAAATTCACACAATTATCAGTATATTGCAAATCATAACATATCAATTAGAGCATTATTTAGAGTTTTCGCTTCTTAGCCAACATCTTTCGGCGCTTTTCCATTGCCTCCAATTTCATGTCTTCTAAGTCCTCCTGTATACCAATCTTCTTGCTAATATACTCCTCCCGCTGTACTTGCGCGAAATTGGATTCCATAGCGGCATCATCGTTGTCATCTAAATCACGATACCTGAATATTAAAAACAAAATTGATGACAGTTCATTTTGATTTATTCGTTTTTTACTTTTGCTTATCATAGCCAAAGATTGCGCGGATATGTGATGAGTAATCTTCTTCTTCGTCACCGTCGTCAATAAAATCGTCCATTTCAGAATCGTATTCGGAATCGTCATCTTCGATGCGCAGTCCTGTCGAAAGAGGAACAATATTATTTATCTCTAGTTATAAGCATTTGAAAATTAAAAAATTCTGTAACCTACTTTTATTTGGTTGTGGTTTCTTTGTCTCCTTACCCCGATTGCGCTGTACATCTGGCGGTGGAAACTGTCGTGGTTTCGCCAATTTTGTATCACGTGGCGGAAATTCACGAGACGGACCGTTAAACGGATTTTTGCTTGAGGAACTACCATAAGGATTCTTACTACTGCCGCTGCTATTGCCTAAGGCACTGGACGATGATACCGACTTCGAATTGGTTGACGCTGCAGTTGATTTGTTTGGTATGGAATGAGATTGTTTGGTACTTACTGATGATGAGGACACAGCAGATGAGGATGTTACTTTCGCATGAGAATTCGGTGCATCCTTTTGTGACGATATTGAAGAAGTTGAGGAAGAAGTATGTGGCTTTTTAAAACCATTTGTTCCGCTAGTGGCTGTGGAAGGTTTTACGGAAACAATGCCGGCTTTGCTGTTTAGTGATTGAGCAGTAGTAGTCGACGTGTTTGGTTTTGTTGATTGATTTAATTTTGGTATACGTCCATTTGGTTCCATACGCGCCGGACCACTCGAAGAGGAGCTACTGTTACTAATTTCTCGTCGTTCTTTTGTGCTGCCCGAACCAATAGTGCGCTCTTTTTCCCGCTCACGGTCTCTACGTTCACGCGCTTCCTTTGCACGCTGGCGCTCCTCCATTTCTTTCTTCTCTTTCATTGTTAGCAAGCGTTCTGGCTCTTTTTTCTTGACAACCGGTAGTATTTCAACTGGTTCATGTTGCTTTTTCTCGGCAAGTTTAAGTAAAGCCTGAAAGTCCATTGGTGGGGGTAGGGGTTTTCGATTCTTCTTACGTTGTTGCTCCTCTTCACGCTTCTTACGTTCTTCTTCTCGCCGTTCGGCTTCAGGGTCATAAAGAGATTTGGATGAGCTGGGACGCACTATGCTTGGTTCCTTTGGTTCCTTGCCACTGGTACTTACAGCAGTGGTGATGCTTGATACTCGTTGACCTTTGTGACCTCTCTTTTCTTCAATTTCACGCGTAATTGCTGCCTTGACGCGCTCCTTTGTACCTGAGAGATCTTTGAGCGATTGTGGTCGACTAGGAGCAAATCCTTTGTCCTCTTTTACGTCTTTTACCTATTTATGATATGGCTTTTTAAGTTTTTCTTTTCTAGTTTCATGAACACTTACATACCTTTTCAATGTATTTTGCATAAAAAGCATTTGCCTCTGTCGAAACATATCCGTAGTCGTCCTGATCTGGTTGATCCGGACCTGCCATAGTAACAGCAGTGTGGTCGGTGTTGACTGCATCATCCAAAACAGATTTATTTGCGGATTTTGTGACTTTTAGCATTTTTTTAATTTTGTTTTTGGACTTTTCATCTCGCATCGATAGTAAATCTGCCAGTTTCTGTTGCTTATCCTTCTCCCGCTCGCGTTCTTCCTGTTCACGTTTTTGAAGGAATTTCTGTATATTTGCAGACAACTTTTTATCCTTTGACTCTTTTTTTGGTGGGGCAAATTTGGTGCTGTAGTATTTACTCTGAAAAATCGGAAATGAAATTATGTATAGCTAATCCGAATGAAAAAAGTTTAGAAAATTACTCGAAAATTAAAAATGCGTTCCCAAATTGGTATGCAACAGCAATATGTATCTAGACAGAAGGAATTGGTCTAAAAACAAAAACTTTTACATGTTATTTTAAATGGTTTAGAAATCCGCCCATTGGCTTAGCAATTTAGTTAAAAGCAAGTTGCTCTTATTTGGGTGACATGGCTCTATTAGATAAGAGATTTGCTTTGTTGCAGAGAATTGTAAAAATTTAGTACGAAATCAATAGACCCATATATATATTATTTTATTAAGAAGCTACTAGCATAACGGAAGTTAACGAGAAACGCTGCAAATTATAATTTCGCATTCAAAAACTTAGTAGCGTTTATTATATTAGTTCTATTTGAGTTGGCAAGTTGTGTATTTAAAAGTTTTCTTCAAAAAAAGTGTTAAATTTCCGGGAAATAGAAGAGATTCTGTGTGCAAGTTCTGACGACGAGGGCAAACCTATAACATCTGAAGTTATTTGCATTTATTTTTAGGATTCGAAACATCACGAAAGGCACAACTGAATTTGTAAGTGAGTCTCCCATCTGCTATGAAGACCAACTGGAATATTTCGAGTG